GCACCAAGAATCCCTCCACTCACTGTCTCACGATCCGGATGACTGCATTCGGAGTTTCCTTCCATCCTTCAGTGACAGACATTATCATAACCAGAATCCAAGTTTACCCAAATAAGAAGTAATGCTATTGAAGAGAAGAGACTTCGAAACAATAAAGTAAGATTAAAGTGTCACAAGATTTTGTGCTCGGGTGGAAATATGTCTGGTGGTTGGAAGGGTCGGAAGAGACCTTTCAACCCACCCAGATCATACGGTCTGCACAATTATGTGAGCCGAAAATCAGGAAATGGTTGAACGCTTATGTGAAATTAAATTTGATAGTCAGTATTCCGACAAAAAGGAATTCGTAGAGAAATTGTATTCGAGAAGAGTATGCCTCAAAATTGTGGTTTTGGGTGACATTTTGTAGAATTGAACGTTTTTTAATGGGCCACCACTGCCGTAGAACTAGTCTAATTTGGCGATCCGGTCAAAGTAGTTCTCGAAACTCCAAAATCATACTCACATGATTGTAGGAAAATTCAACAATCACTTCCTTATCAACTTATGCAATCAGGGGTGAATAGAAGTAACAAATGAAAAATCTTTTGGTAGTTTCGAGAACTACTTAAACGGAATGTAAGTAATACAGTCAATTATAATTGCAAATACGAGTTTGCTTCAACAACACTCCAACTACAACATGTGATATAGAGTAGGCCTGTCGTGCCAAGTTGTGGTAAAATGACGATATTGGAGTCTGGATTCGACTCTCGACGGGAGTCGAAACGGTCCCCTCCAACCGAGTTGAGGATAGCTTTTGTAAAGTTAGTTTAAGGCAACTTTGCTAGCATATTGAGGCTTATTTCTGTGATTGTGGAAACATTCAGCTGCCGTTCATTCATAAAATTATGTGTTTTATCGTGAATTCGGCCATTATGGAATGTTTCAAGTCTACCTCGAGTCAGGTTGATATTGCATTTTAGGAATTCATCATTTCGAAAAAAGAGCTTGAAGGAAGAGATTTGTGAATTGGTCTCAACAGACACGTCGAAACCAGTGTTTAGAATCCGTAGTCCATAGAACTAAACTCATCCGCCAACATTCGTGATTGGAGCAAAACGAAATGTGAAATTATCCACCAGAATTGGGTGCCATTGCAGCTGGCCAGCTTTCCCAGCTGAATGTACCATTACCTTTATGAAAAGAATGTTTATTTTGGCTTTAAAAATGACTTTTACGCTTGGACAATGTGTTATTGCCGAAATTGGTCAGTCGCATCGCTGGCACCTCGAACTTGACTCTCCGAGAAGCGGTATTTTGCAATTAAAAGTCTGGCTCAATTATGTGCATTTTCTGCTGGGTTAGTTGAGTAGATGATGACGATTTGTCAGATTTATGGCGGAAAATTATGCAACCAAACCTGCCAAGCCTTATTTCCGGATTGGGATGCATCATTTTGGAATTTTACTTTAATTCCGATGTCTACCTATTCGCTACAGGCGATGAGCTCATTTCCATTTCTAGCGAACGGGTATGATGAAAAAACATTTTCGATTGTTCTAGAACATTCTTGGTCAAGACGAGATAAGCTTTCGCCCTAGTCAAAATAGAAATTAAATAAAATTCACTTGCTTATCCTTAAATATTGTATATACAGCCTTGATAGATGCATTTTAATGCGTTGCAAAGTGATTTAATCAGTTCAAGTTATATGCCAATCTAGGGGCAGATGTGTGTGCATGCTAGTGTGTGTGTGTATGTGTTTATGGGCCTACATATCTTTATATATGTACCAGCGATATCTCAAAGCCACTCCTTATTTTCATTTTAGCCATAACTTTGATTCGATTATGTGTGAAACACATCGTTTTGAGTTGGTGAATCAGGTTTGTTTGCGCGTGTATGTGAAAGAGAGAGAGAGAAAGAGAGTGAGAAGGATTGTGTAAAATAGTGAACTAAGACCTACACAAATCGCGTTGATAATGAGAACCACTGCCAAGGAAAGACTAATTAAGTCAACTCTTTTTCACTCGTAGATAAACACTTTATCTATCTTTGAGTCTACTGAGTAAACATGAGTAGTACATAATTAGGTCCTTGAGGGTATTTCTGACATTTAATGTAATTTCTCGAGGCATTACATTATTTCTCATATATTTATATGCTGCCTAAAGGAGTAGGTTGTTTCTAAGTTATCATTCGATTATAAATAATAATATTTTCCTCCTTTTGGAGTTGCTGGGTAAAGCGGAGTCGAAGTTGCATTATATTCGAGATAGAGGAACATTTCAAGGGAAGTCTGATGATATTGTAAAGCATTCTGGACTTTTAATTGTTGAAAATAAGAACTGTATTTTCCCTATTTTGCATACATTTCGAAGGAGTAATTGTTTAACTTTCCCATACTCAGATCAGAATACCTCATGCTTGCATTAAATTCCACACATCCTCGCTTTCCAAAAAATATTTATATCCGTTCCGGTTGGTCTCATTGACTTTCAAGCGAGTCTACACCTTTCCCATATTTTGCTGTATATACCATAGCAACTGACTACACTGCTTGTTCCTTATTTTCGCAAGTGAATTGTCGACACTACTCGTAGATGTGTCATGAGAGGAAGCAATGTCATGTGAAATTCAATGTATATTCCGCCACCTTCTCAACCGAAACAGGGTTGGTACAGCTTTTTTATGGGATTCACTGGTAGTCTTCACAACCTACTCCTTCTGTACATCTGCTTGATTAGCCCACGTTGACGCAACTTCTGATTGATCGCTTTCTGACAGCTTGAAAACACTCTCATCATGTATCGAATAGTTGCTATCCCAACGGAATGGTATGGTTTTCTGCCTCCATTTAACCATCTAACCTCATTCTAATCTATTCTTTTTCAGGGGCTTTCCTTATTCCCTACATTTTCATGTACGTCTTTGGTGGACTTCCGCTCTTCTACCTCGAACTGGCACTGGGTCAGTTCCAACGCAACGGTTGCATCACAGTCTGGCGAAGAATATGTCCCATGTTTGGAGGTGAGTTGCTGTCTGGGGGGAGCATTGAAAGACGTTACTTTCTGAATTATGCCCATTTTTCAGCCAACCAGAAACTGAAAGATTCTTTTAGCCTTCATTTGGTTGGAAAAGCATCACCAAAAACACACATCACTAAGGCCGAAAAGCATCATTGTCAAAAATATATACCAACATAATGACACCAAAAAGTCGTACTGCTCAAATCCCATCAATTTATTTCTACCCGATTTTGCCTTTCTTGTTGGACATTTTCTCATTTTGTCGCCACCCCATGCAAGAAAAAATGAGTAAGAAAGCCTTTTCCTCTCACTCGATCCTTTCTCCCGCTCTCTCTCCCTATTACTATGCATTTGCCAGAATAATTCTGTGCCCGATTTGCAATGCTCTCTCCTCCATTTATGCAAAATAGTTTGTCCTGATGCCCTGCGTTTGATGGCTGGAGCAATAACTGTTTGTTTTCAGACAACCTTGTTCACATGAACACTACCAAATAAGCAGAAAAACCCTACCACAAACTGATGGGCGTAAGGTATCTGAAGATTCGCTCAAAAAAGACAAGATCAAAGCAAACGTTGCTGTCTATCCTTCTAGTTCGCAGTATTGTAAATTAATTTGCACTTATTCCCAACGCATAATTATTCTGAAGTAACATTTTTTTCAACACTTCTAACTCTTGATCCTGTTGCATGACGCCGGCTAAAAAACAAATTTCAATTAAACTGGATTTTTTATTTCTATACTTTTATCCGCTACCGAAAATTTCCTCCTCTTATTACCTACCCCGACGTCAGAAATGTGTAAACTTAACAAATTCAACATGAACACATTTTGGCTATTTGACAGAATTATGAAGATTT